TAGGATTTATGTTTTGCATAATTTAGGCTATTTAGGTTATTTTGGTAATATATATTTTTTGCTCCTTTAACGTTTAATATCATCAGAAAAAAATCATATCTTGTTTTTGTAACAGACAAGCAATGACTGCAATATGAGGAGCCATTTTTTCCAACCTGATATTTATGTGTTCAGTTTTCTGTGCCCAGCTCAAATTCTGTTTGGCTAGTTTATAAAGTGTGTTTTTCTCGCCTAAATCAAACGCATTCATAGCTACCCGGTAATCACTTATCATCTTTGAGTGCTCGAAAGTCAATTAAGCACGATTCTCAGTGGCCTAGTGGACTTCTGCATATTCGACTTGTGGGGAATCAAACTTGACAAAGGATTAACACGTATCAATCAATGCGCATGATTTAGGCGAGAAAAACACATGCTATAGCTGAAAATAATTTGAGCTAGGAGCAGGAAATGGAACACAAAAAACTAAGGTTGGAAAAATTGACTCTTGATATTGCAGTCAATGCTTGTTTGTTATAAAAAGTTGATATGATTTTTTGTATTGATCCGATGCTATTAAACGTTAGAGCAAAAAAAATTACAAAAAACTTTAATCGCCTAAATAATGCAAAACATAATCCTATTTCACGCGGTTCTTACAGGACCACGAAAAGCAGAGCCTGTTTCCGGCAATTTCAGACAATTTATAGAAACGGGTAAAAGGACCAACATACGAAGAACTGTTCAGCTCATCACGGTTGTTCCACTGCTAAGAATTACATGCAATTCTTTTGGTTGTTTTTCTGGGCTGGTATTTTTACCTCACCTGCAAGCAAAGAGTAGAGATCATGGTGGGCCACCACTTTTCGCTTTAATTTAGTTAAGACTATCTATCTGTTCTTGGATTTCTTTTTTCATTTTTCAGTCAGGCAAACCTTTCTAATGGTATTACATTTGATGCCGTACAATAATTATTTGAAGTCCAAGAAAGTGGGAAAAAAACCACTCTAAGCCATGCTGCATTCCTGCTGATCCCTTAAACATGCCCGTTCTCTTTTCAATTCTACAACTTTTACAGCCTATTAAAATTTAGCGATAATTGACCTGTTATCAACGCCGAGATAGAATTGCAATTTCGATAAGTTATAAAAACAAACCTTGACAACTTACCGTAGTGACATTACAGTGGTGAAACTGCAGACTAGAAACTGCCGACAGGCCTTAAAAATTTTAACGTTACAAGCTTTTTTTGAAATTAAGGATGACATTTGCTAATGTGGTTTTTTATTCAGACAAATTATTGCTATCTGATGACTAATGAACAAAGATTTCTATAACCAATGAAGAGATCATTGAAAATATTTCTGAGTTCTAAATTGAAAAGCTATTTCGACTAGTTTTTTTTGGTAAAGCTTTGGAGTTAAATAAAATGCCAATTTAAGACTTTACGGACTAATTTCTGCTGCTCCTTTTTTTTAAATTTTATGTAATATGCTGAAAAGTTAACTCGAATTTCTCACGACTACTGAACGGCTCCGCACACAAAACCATTCGAAAGTGAGTCAAGCAAGCATACAAGTCGCTCGCTGACTAAATTACCTAGAATAAAAGCCCACCGGATATAAACCCCAAGGAGGAAATCCCCCATAAGACCAAATCCCCCGTGTTTTATTCAGTATGATGGAACTCAAATTGAACTCATTATACGATTTTATCTTTCTATTGATTCCATTATGCATTGACTTCCATTTAAATATGCATCTTCATTTTGACAAGACTTTTCAACAGCTTTAAGATTACAACTTTCAGTTGACTTTCTATAAGAATGAGCTTTGACTGCAAAAATTAATAAGCCACGTAGCACAGTCAGTACGAGTGATTGGAAACCAAGTTGATTCCCTCTGCGTGAGTTCGAATGCCAAATATGACATTTTATGCAATTGATATAAAGCTCTGTTGAATTTACTCCCAGGGGTCAAAAATCCCGCGCTTCCAATAGGTTTGAACTTAATTCAATGTTAATTAATGTTGACTGATAAACAAATTAACAACCGATATAGTCCCAGCAAAACGATTAGTTCAACATGTGTGTTACCAGTTTGCGTGGTCGCAATTTAAACACTCATTAGCAATTAAACGTTTGCCTCTTGACGCAATTTTTTTGTTCAGTTTGTAAAACAAGTGCATTTTATTGACTACCTACTCATTCAAAAGATTTACAATTCAAAATAACAAAATCAAATTTGTGTTAAGCGACGAAGGCAGCCAGGAAGCGCTTCACAATAACTACATTAACTATAAAAAAGAGTTAGTCAAATCTATTCAATGAGAGTGCGAGTTGCGGCGGTCAAAGCATAGGGACTTCGTTACGCCAGCACAATGTAAGGCAAGCATATGGACTTCGAAGGGCGAATTCCTACTAAGCTTTAATAGAAACGTATACCAATAACGAGCAAATCAAAGCGAACGCAGCGGCCTGCACCGACTCCACACAAAAGGTGCTGTCAAATGCCCTGGCGAAATCCACACCAGAATGCTCCTCGAAGATGCCTGTGGTGCCTCACTTCAAACGAAGGACCAGAAGAATCCGACATCAAAACCGAATCCAACTACCGCTCCCAACAGGATTCGATTTTGAACTGCCCGTTAAACACATGCAAACCATCAATTGAGTGGAGTTTTTTCTCGAAGATTCGACAGTTCTGGGAACCGGTAAACGATATTTGATGTTCGCAACCAACAAAAACATCGAAATCTTAAAATCTTAGGGAAACTGGTTTATCGATAGAACCTTTAAAAGCTGTCCTGATAACTTCTACCAAGTATAAACTATCCACTGCTTCGTAGCTGGAACACCTTTTTCATGTACCTATGCCCTTCTCCCCGATAAACAAGAAACGTACAACGCTTTCTTGGCGAACTTAAAGCAGATATCGGCCCCCCAGTTCAATCAACATGAACATTAAAATTTTGAAATGGCTTGCATCAATTGTGTGGGCGACAAATTTCTAGACAGAAATCAAAGGTTGTTACTTTCACTTCTTGCAAGCCATTCACAGAAAGAAACTCGAATTTGGTTTGTTGTACAGAATCGCGAGGACAATAAAATCAATCTAGCTATACGTTTTTCAGCTGCTCTTGCGTTTGTCCTACACTTACATGTATAAGCATGGTATAAGCAAATATTAGAAAGTTGCCACATTCCTGACGACATCCAGAACTATTTTGAGGACACCTTTTTAGGCAAAGAAACGCGAATATCGAGGAGACCGGGAAATCGCAATTTGACATGGACGTAGAGAACGTTTATTTCAGGACCATTGACGACCTCCCCCGTACAAAAATTCCTTTGAAGAATTTCACCGTGGATTCGGATCCATGCTCTAAATGTCAAATCCTGACATATTGAAATTCATTGATGCCATTCAGAGGCAGCAATCACTGCAAACTTTTAGTTTCTCTCAAATGCAGCTCGGCAAGAAAGTTCACCCAAGGAAAGAGGATAACTTTGGGAGGATAAAGAGAGATGTATGCTCTGCCGCTAGCTACAAAGAGTTGGACTATCTTAAGGCCATAGCTGTTAACTTCGCCTTTTAGTTTTTAGTATTTAATCTATCTATTTCTTTTCAGTTAATTATCTTTCATTTAATTCAAATTTTAATGTCGCTTTTTTATTCAGTTCGAATGTGGGGGATATTAAACTTAACACTGGGGCTTTTGTCCTAGGGGGATTTGGTCCTACGGGGAATTAAGTCCTGGGGGATTTTATCCGGTGGGATTTTGTCCTGGGGGATTTGATCCTGGGGGATTTAGTCCTGGGTATTTGATCCTGGGGGATTTAGTCCTAGAACCCATAAGGTCATTATATCCCTATGTGGCTCAAATCTAACAGTCAACTATTAAATATTGGCTGTTGATGAACACAAAACGAACATTTATTTTTACCGAAATTATTTGAAATTACGTGGAAATATTCAAACATTAAAAACTTTTCATTTAAAATTAGATTCAATTAGAATGCAGATACGGGCCTTAGTTTTGTCAATATGTGTAAATTTACTGATATTGAAGCTCCGATTATGTTGCAAAAAATAATTCTTTTTGAGCTTGGACCAAGTTTTTTTTGGGTATATGACCATTGAGCTATAAAAAAAATGATGTCATAAGAATCTGCGGATTAAATATTGAAACTCGAAGTTTTAAGTCCCCATGGGCATGAAAATATATTATTTTCTGACCAATGACGCAATATGAGGCATCTAAGCTTAAAATCTAACAAACTGAGCAATTAAACTGAAAAATGTAGACACAGAGGCGAAGCTATGCTTCGCAAACACTTGCGAGAACACGACCAAAAAGCAGCTCTTTCAAGTGACATGAAAAAAAGTAGCAATAAGCTTCGAATTAGCAAAAATCAGCAACCTAGCAAATTCGAATTCCACGCAATAACCAATCAGCCACGGATGCATAAAATCCTCAAAAACTAGCCATCAATAGCGCAGCTACAAGTGCTAACAAATTGTTAATTTGATGCAGCAAAAGTAGCACCAATTACAAAAAGATACAATTTTGCATGTAATGAACCGCAAATCATAAAGCCATATTATGTAGTAATTATGCATTTCAAAAAACTGCGAGTTATATTAAGTGAGAAATTTTCTGAAATCGAGAATTAATTATTGTTATGTTGTTTGAAAGAAATAGCTTTCTTCGGTTCACTTGCTAATTTAAAAATGCATCAACTATGTAAACTTATAACTATTCAAATGTCAAAGCACATGTTATCAGTAAGCTTTAAAGGTTCAACAAAGTGTTCTTAATGCCAATTCGATGCAACAAATATTGTTGCTTCAAGTCGCAACAATATTTGCAAATTAATTGCAACAGAACACAGACCTGTTCTGGAAAAAAGAAAGTTCGTACTAAAAATACTTTGCTTCGCAAGTGTAAAAAGGGAAACTACACAACAACCGAGGTGCTCATTGTATAATTCAGTTCGAAGACCAGCTTAACAAAAAAGATATCCTGAAATTTAAATTTTTCAACTATACAATAAAATTTAACACAAGCACCACAAATAATTCCATATTCCAAGTGAGTTTTGAGTTTTAAGAATTCATGGCAAGATCTGAGTTTGGAAAAGAAGAAATTTTGCTTTCCAAGCCACATCAAGATAAGGCACGATTAATCTTGGTTTATTTATTTGTAATTGTTGTGGCAACTCAAGCGTTCATTGATTGTTTCACATTCACTGTTGCGATAATTTTCCAATTGCATATTCAATCTTATTATACAATTATATTATGATGAGCGTATTCTGTGTTCAGGTATTGCTGTAAATCAGAATCTTCGTCCACCTCATAAAAGCATTTAAAGACCATGTATGCAACAGTGGCCACGACTATGGCCATAATGACCATAATTGATGAGTAATATTCATCATAAATGGCCCCAAGTCTTCTTTGGATTCTAGATCGAGAGGTTCTGTACACAAGAAGATATCGGACCATAATGAGTTCTCCGTTTTTGACTAGAGCATAGGATTCTGGCATTCCAGACCTGTTCTGTGAAGTAGACGTTGAGGAGTTGCCGTTGGCTGGAGATCCAACTGAGCTTCCGCGTTTGACACTTTCGGGATCGTCTAAAAAGAAAGACGTTATTAGAAAAAAAGATCCACTTAACATCGTCCCATTTAAAGACGTTTAATGAGGAGGAAGTTAACATGGTTTCAATTAGAATTTTTTCAATCAGGTTCGGGTATTTCACACCTAGCAAAGATTGGATGGAAGGAACATCTTTGCTTGGTCCGTTTTAGAGTGAAATGGAAAGATTTGGAGCTTCGAATACAGGAAAGTTAAGCATTCAAATAATTCCATTTACTTGTCGTCTAACTTTTCCCGTAATTTCTTCCTACAAATCAAAATCGACGCCCAGCACTGTATTGCAGGCCAATATGTTGACAGTATATGTTACTGGAATCAGTAGAAATTACGTTGGGAATTGAACAATTGATGTAGATTGCTTGAATATTTAGGCTGACCAATAAGATTTTCAGTCATAAGTGAAAAACATAGCCAACAGACAGATGCAAAAGAGTCAATGAACGCAAGTAAACAAAACAATATTTTTTTTTGAAAAAAAATCATTTTCAAAAAAAAAAAAAAAAACAGATGCATTTAAAGCTCTTTGAATTTCACGAACAATTTATGAATATAGCCAATCGAAGATTGGAAAAGAGTAATGAACGCAAGTAAACATAAAAAACACTGACTTTGTTTTAAAAAAATCTGAAAAGTCTGAAAAAACTTTCAAATTTCAAATAAAAAAAACAAATGCCTTTTAAGTTCTTTGAATTTCTAGAACGATTTATGACTGTCGCTTTTTTGATAACATTAACCCAACTTGAGAAAACTGGATCAACAGGTAGAGTTTTATTCCGCTCGAAAATCTTAAAAATAAATTCCACTTTCGAAACTAGAAGTTTTTCACGTTTTTTCGCACAATTTCCACGCTCGTATTTGGAGAAAGCTAATTACGTCACTTTCAGCAGATTAACTTCAATTGAAATCAAAAAGTGCATATATACCTAAGTGCATCAATATTTTAAAAGTTTTTCCTGAAAAAATCAAAAAAACTCAGCAAGACCTATATAAGAACCTTCACTACGTTCATTACACTTAATTAGTGCTTTCTGAGAGTAATGAACGTAGTGAAGACTCTTATATAGGTCTTGCTATTTTTTTGCTTTTGTAGGAAAGTCTTAAATGCTCTAATAACTTATGTGAAATTCTTTTTTTTTTAAAAGTTAACTCGAATTTCTCATGAATACTGAACGACTCCGCACACAAAACCAGAGGGGGGATTGTAAAGGGGAGATCCTTTTTCTTCACACGTCTCAGTTGTGATAAGATTTGCCAGATAATCGCTTATTGGAAATATTTATTTTCCATAAACAAAACGGTGTAACCAAATTTAACTTCTTTTTTAAAGCGAGATCTTTCCTTTTTTGTCTGCGGATTGAAAACGATGTTCTTATCAAAATTAGCATCATAAACATCAAATAATTAAGTCTTAGAATTTAACAATTATACAATATAAATAAACGATTTAATTATTTAATAAATTAGGATTTATGTTTTGCATAATTTAGGCTATTTAGGTTATTTTGGTAATATATATTTTTTGCTCCTTTAACGTTTAATATCATCAGAAAAAAATCATATCTTGTTTTTGTAACAGACAAGCAATGACTGCAATATGAGGAGCCATTTTTTCCAACCTGATATTTATGTGTTCAGTTTTCTGTGCCCAGCTCAAATTCTGTTTGGCTAGTTTATAAAGTGTGTTTTTCTCGCCTAAATCAAACGCATTCATAGCTACCCGGTAATCACTTATCATCTTTGAGTGCTCGAAAGTCAATTAAGCACGATTCTCAGTGGCCTAGTGGACTTCTGCATATTCGACTTGTGGGGAATCAAACTTGACAAAGGATTAACACGTATCAATCAATGCGCATGATTTAGGCGAGAAAAACACATGCTATAGCTGAAAAGAATTTGAGCTAGGAGCAGGAAATGGAACACAAAAAACTAAGGTTGGAAAAATTGACTCTTGATATTGCAGTCAATGCTTGTTTGTTATAAAAAGTTGATATGATTTTTTGTATTGATCCGATGCTATTAAACGTTAGAGCAAAAAAAATTACAAAAAACTTTAATCGCCTAAATAATGCAAAACATAATCCTATTTCACGCGGTTCTTACAGGACCACGAAAAGCAGAGCCTGTTTCCGGCAATTTCAGACAATTTATAGAAACGGGTAAAAGGACCAACATACGAAGAACTGTTCAGCTCATCACGGTTGTTCCACTGCTAAGAATTACATGCAATTCTTTTGGTTGTTTTTCTGGGCTGGTATTTTTACCTCACCTGCAAGCAAAGAGTAGAGATCATGGTGGGCCACCACTTTTCGCTTTAATTTAGTTAAGACTATCTATCTGTTCTTGGATTTCTTTTTTCATTTTTCAGTCAGGCAAACCTTTCTAATGGTATTACATTTGATGCCGTACAATAATTATTTGAAGTCCAAGAAAGTGGGAAAAAAACCACTCTAAGCCATGCTGCATTCCTGCTGATCCCTTAAACATGCCCGTTCTCTTTTCAATTCTACAACTTTTACAGCCTATTAAAATTTAGCGATAATTGACCTGTTATCAACGCCGAGATAGAATTGCAATTTCGATAAGTTATAAAAACAAACCTTGACAACTTACCGTAGTGACATTACAGTGGTGAAACTGCAGACTAGAAACTGCCGACAGGCCTTAAAAACTTTAACGGTACAAGCTTTTTTTGAAATTAAGGATGACATTTGCTAATGTGGTTTTTTATTCAGACAAATTATTGCTATCTGATGACTAATGAACAAAGATTTCTATAACCAATGAAGAGATCATTGAAAATATTTCTGAGTTCTAAATTGAAAAGCTATTTCGACTAGTTTTTTTTGGTAAAGCTTTGGAGTTAAATAAAATGCCAATTTAAGACTTTACGGACTAATTTCTGCTGCTCCTTTTTTTTAAATTTTATGTAATATGCTGAAAAGTTAACTCGAATTTCTCACGACTACTGAACGGCTCCGCACACAAAACCATTCGAAAGTGAGTCAAGCAAGCATACAAGTCGCTCGCTGACTAAATTACCTAGAATAAAAGCCCACCGGATATAAACCCCAAGGAGGAAATCCCCCATAAGACCAAATCCCCCGTGTTTTATTCAGTATGATGGAACTCAAATTGAACTCATTATACGATTTTATCTTTCTATTGATTCCATTATGCATTGACTTCCATTTAAATATGCATCGTCATTTTGACAAGACTTTTCAACAGCTTTAAGATTACAACTTTCAGTTGACTTTCTATAAGAATGAGCTTTGACTGCAAAAATTAATAAGCCACGTAGCACAGTCAGTACGAGTGATTGGAAACCAAGTTGATTCCCTCTGCGTGAGTTCGAATGCCAAATATGACATTTTATGCAATTGATATAAAGCTCTGTTGAATTTACTACCAGGGGTCAAAAATCCCGCGCTTCCAATAGGTTTGAACTTAATTCAATGTTAATTAATGTTGACTGATAAACAAATTAACAACCGATATAGTCCCAGCAAAACGATTAGTTCAACATGTGTGTTACCAGTTTGCGTGGTCGCAATTTAAACACTCATTAGCAATTAAACGTTTGCCTCTTGACGCAATTTTTTTGTTCAGTTTGTAAAACAAGTGCATTTTATTGACTACCTACTCATTCAAAAGATTTACAATTCAAAATAACAAAATCAAATTTGTGTTAAGCGACGAAGGCAGCCAGGAAGCGCTTCACAATAACTACATTAACTATAAAAAAGAGTTAGTCAAATCTATTCAATGAGAGTGCGAGTTGCGGCGGTCAAAGCATAGGGACTTCGTTACGCCAGCACAATGTAAGGCAAGCATATGGACTTCGAAGGGCGAATTCCTAATAAGCTTTAATAGAAACGTATACCAATAACGAGCAAATCAAAGCGAACGCAGCGGCCTGTACCGACTCCACACAAAAGGTGATGTCAAATGCCCTGGCGAAATCCACACCAGAATGCTCCTCGAAGATGCCTGTGGTGCCTCACTTCAAACGAAGGACCAGAAGAATCCGACATCAAAACCGAATCCAACTACCGCTCCCAACAGGATTCGATTTTGAACTGCCCGTTAAACACATGCAAACCATCAATTGAGTGGAGTTTTTTCTCGAAGATTCGACAGTTCTGGGAACCGGTAAACGATATTTGATGTTCGCAACCAACAAAAACATCGAAATCTTAAAATCTTAGGGAAACTGGTTTATCGATAGAACCTTTAAAAGCTGTCCTGATAACTTCTACCAAGTATAAACTATCCACTGCTTCGTAGCTGGAACACCTTTTTCAGGTACCTATGCCCTTCTCCCCGATAAACAAGAAACGTACAACGCTTTCTTGGCGAACTTAAAGCAGATATCGGCCCCCCAGTTCAATCAACATGAACATTAAAATTTTGAAATGGCTTGCATCAATTGTGTGGGCGACAAATTTCTAGACAGAAATCAAAGGTTGTTACTTTCACTTCTTGCAAGCCATTCACAGAAAGAAACTCGAATTTGGTTTGTTGTACAGAATCGCGAGGACAATAAAATCAATCTAGCTATACGTTTTTCAGCTGCTCTTGCGTTTGTCCTACACTTATATGTATAAGCATGGTATAAGCAAATATTAGAAAGTTGCCACATTCCTGACGACATCCAGAACTATTTTGAGGACACCTTTTTAGGCAAAGAAACGCGAATATCGAGGAGACCGGGAAATCGCAATTTGACATGGACGTAGAGAACGTTTATTTCAGGACCATCGACGACCTCCCCCGTACAAAAATTCCTTTGAAGAATTTCACCGTGGATTCGGATCCATGCTCTAAATGTCAAATCCTGACATATTGAAATTCATTGATGCCATTCAGAGGCAGCAATCACTGCAAACTTTTAGTTTCTCTCAAATGCAGCTCGGCAAGAAAGTTCACCCAAGGAAAGAGGATAACTTTGGGAGGATAAAGAGAGATGTATGCTCTGCCGCTAGCTACAAAGAGTTGGACTATCTTAAGGCCATAGCTGTTAACTTCGCCTTTTAGTTTTTAGTATTTAATCTATCTATTTCTTTTCAGTTAATTATCTTTCATTTAATTCAAATTTTAATGTCGCTTTTTTATTCAGTTCGAATGTGGGGGATATTAAACTTAACACTGGGGCTTTTGTCCTAGGGGGATTTGGTCCTACGGGGAATTAAGTCCTGGGGGATTTTATCCGGTGGGATTTTGTCCTGGGGGATTTGATCCTGGGGGTTTTAGTCCTGGGGATTTGATCCTGGGGGATTTAGTCCTAGAACCCATAAGGTCATTATATCCCTATGTGGCTCAAATCTAACAGTCAACTATTAAATATTGGCTGTTGATGAACACAAAACGAACATTTATTTTTACCGAAATTATTTGAAATTATGTGGAAATATTCAAACATTAAAAACTTTTCATTTAAAATTAGATTCAATTAGAATGCAGATACGGGCCTTAGTTTTGTCAATATGTGTAAATTTACTGATATTGAAGCTCCGATTATGTTGCAAAAAATAATTCTTTTTGAGCTTGGACCAAGTTTTTTTTGGGTATATGACCATTGAGCTATAAAAAAAATGATGTCATAAGAATCTGCGGATTAAATATTGAAACTCGAAGTTTTAAGTCCCCATGGGCATGAAAATATATTATTTTCTGACCAATGACGCAATATGAGGCATCTAAGCTTAAAATCTAACAAACTGAGCAATTAAACTGAAAAATGTAGACACAGAGGCGAAGCTATGCTTCGCAAACACTTGCGAGAACACGACCAAAAAGCAGCTCTTTCAAGTGACATGAAAAAAAGTAGCAATAAGCTTCGAATTAGCAAAAATCAGCAACCTAGCAAATTCGAATTCCACGCAATAACCAATCAGCCACGGATGCATAAAATCCTCAAAAACTAGCCATCAATAGCGCAGCTACAAGTGCTAACAAATTGTTAATTTGATGCAGCAAAAGTAGCACCAATTACAAAAAGATACAATTTTGCATGTAATGAACCGCAAATCATAAAGCCATATTATGTAGTAATTATGCATTTCAAAAAACTGCGAGATATATTAAGTGAGAAACTTTCTGAAATCGAGAATTAATTATTGTTATGTTGTTTGAAAGAAATAGCTTTCTTCGGTTCACTTGCTAATTTAAAAATGCATCAACTATGTAAACTTATAACTATTCGAATGTCAAAGCACATGTTATCAGTAAGCTTTAAAGGTTCAACAAAGTTTTCTTAATGCCAATTCGATGCAGCCCATTCGATGCAACAAATATTGTTGCTTCAAGTCGCAACAATATTTGCAAATTAATTGCAACAGAACACAGACCTGTTCTGGAAAAAAGAAAGTTCGTACTAAAAATACTTTGCTTCGCAAGTGTAAAAAGGGAAACTACACAACAACGGTGGTGCTCATTGTATAATTCAGTTCGAAGACCAGCTTAACAAAAAAGATATCCTGAAATTTAAATTTTCCAACTATACAATAAAATTTAACACAAGCACCACAAATAATTCCATATTCCAAGTGAGTTTTGAGTTTTAAGAATTCATGGCAAGATCTGAGTTTGGAAAAGAAGAAATTTTGCTTTCCAAGCCACATCAAGATAAGGCACGATTAATCTTGGTTTATTTATTTGTAATTGTTGTGGCAACTCAAGCGTTCATTGATTGTTTCACATTCACTATTGCGATAATTTTCCAATTGCATATTCAATCTTATTATACAATTATATTATGATGAGCGTATTCTGTGTTCAGGTATTGCTGTAAATCAGAATCTTCGTCCACCTCATAAAAGCATTTAAAGACCATGTATGCAACAGTGGCCACGACTATGGCCATAATGACCATAATTGATGAGTAATATTCATCATAAATGGCCCCAAGTCTTCTTTGGATTCTAGATCGAGAGGTTCTGTACACAAGAAGATATCGGACCATAATGAGCTCTCCGTTTTTGACTAGAACATAGGATTCTGGCATTCCAGACCTGTTCTGTGAAGTAGACGTTGAGGAGTTGCCGTTGACTGGAGATCCAACTGAGCTTCCGCGTTTGACACTTTCGGGATCGTCTAAAAAGAAAGACGTTATTAGAAAAAAAGATCCACTTAACATCGTCCCATTTAAAGACGTTTAATGAGGAGGAAGTTAACATGGTTTCAATTAGAATTTTTTCAATCAGGTTCGGGTATTTCACACCTAGCAAAGATTGGATGGAAGGAATATCTTTGCTTGGTCCGTTTTAGAGTGAAATGAAAAGATTTGGAGCTTCGAATACAGGAAATTTAAGCATTCAAATAATTCCATTTACTTGTCGTCTAACTTTTCCCGTAATTTCTTCCTACAAATCAAAATCGACGCCCAGCACTGTATTGCAGGCCAATATGTTGACAGTATATGTTACTGGAATCAGTAGAAATTACGTTGGGAGTTGAACAATTGATGTAGATTGCTTGAATATTTAGGCTGACCAATAAGATTTTCAGTCATAAAAACATAGCCAACAGACAGATGCAAAAGAGTCAATGAACGCAAGTAAACAAAACAATATTTTTTTTTGAAAAAAAATCATTTTCAAAGAAAAAAAACAGATGCATTTAAAGCTCTTTGAATTTCACGAACAATTTATGAACATAGCCAATCGAAGATTGGAAAAGAGTAATGAACGCAAGTAAACATAAAAAACACTGACTTTGTTTTAAAAAAATCTGAAAAGTCTGAAAAAACTTTCAAATTTCAAATAAAAAAAATAAATGCCTTTTAAGTTCTTTGAATTTCTAGAACGATTTATGACTGTCGCTTTTTTGATAACATTAACCCAACTTGAGAAAACTGGATCAACAGGTAGAGTTTTATTCCGCTCGAAAATCTTAAAAATAAATTCCACTTTCGAAACTAGAAGTTTTTCACGTTTTTTCGCACAATTTCCACGCTCGTATTTGGAGAAAGCTAATTACGTCACTTTCAGCAGATGAACTTCAATTGAAATCAAAAAGTGCATATATACCTAAGTGCATCAATATTTTAAAAGTTTTTCCTGAAAAAATCAAAAAAACTCAGCAAGACCTATATAAGAACCTTCACTACGTTCATTACACTTAATTAGTGCTTTCTGAGAGTAATGAACGTAGTGAAGACTCTTATATAGGTCTTGCTATTTTTTTGCTTTTTGCAGGAAAGTCTTAAATGCTCTAATAACTTATGTGAAATTCTTTTTTTTTAATTCGAAAGATTTTTTCAATGAAAGTGGTTTTTTTTAATTACACTAGTTGACAAAATTAAGAGCAAAATTCAAGATTTTACTCTCTAAAATACCTGTTTTGAATGTCCATTTTGGACAACATTTTCTTCGAATTTCAGTAAAAATTTTACATATACCAACAGCAAATGATCAGAGCTACCCTTTATGAAACTATCAAAATTAGGCTTCAAAAATTTACCAGTTTTTTCCGCGTCTGAAAACGCCAGTTTTCCTCATGTGCACTAAGCTTCTTACTTCGCGTGAAAAAGTAAGAAACGCCCGAGTTAAGTAAAATTTGCACACTGATTGTTTCCATTTTCTCACTGAAAATGTTTCACGTCACATGAACAATTAGTTTACTCCGCTCATTCGAGAACTCACTACGATGCGAAACTTAGTGCAGAAGAGAAAAACAATTCCTGAAAAAGAAACGAAATAAAAAATCATCACGACGTATATAAGAGTCTGAAAAGCAATCTATAATTATCCCAGCCAAAGATTAGCATCTCTATCAACTAGAAAAAACAAAACACTTAAGTTTACACAATCAAAACCACCAACAATTCACCCATAATGTTTGTTACCAGCTGAAAAACAAATTTACCTCGTTTTTTAAAAAGCCGCTTATGCTTTTTTTTTGAATATTTACCTATAACTTGACAAACAGCCACACAGCTCAAACTGGAGCCGATCTTACTCCTGGACCAGCCATGTGAGCTGAAGGAGTGGTTCAAACTGACCGACTGCTCATTTGACAGATAGACTCCTTCGCCGAACAGACCCTCTTTGCTCAGGTTGCTCAGTAGTCCACATTGAGAGATGGAGTGGAAGTTCTCCAGTCGGGATCCATGCAGCGCGAAGAAGGTCGACGTTTCCTGTCAATTAGGGTGAGAGTGAGAACTCTATTAACTGGGTCAATAAGTGAAGTTTATATTGCACTGGAAAAGCTAAAAATTGAAATCCATTTTAGAAACTTGAAACCCTTCACGTTCTCTTCGAAATTTTTAATTTTGTTATTGCAGAGTGCAACTTATCTACCCTGTAGCAAATGCAATTCAACGTGAACTCAAAAAATTCTAAACAAGTAAGTTCCTTGACCGCCACTTCAAAAAGGATTAACTACCGCATATTCAATTGTAAGCTAAACAAAAAACACCACCTTGGATTGTGCTGCGAATCTGTCTTCGATCTCTTTGGAGTGATTAAGTTTGAAAATGAAATCTGGAATCGGTTCTGCGAGACCCACTGAAGGAGGAACGTCTGTTAGTTTGCACGATGAGAATGAATTGCGTAGAGAGTGAAGCCACTCCAAAAGCGACACCTAAGAAACAGAAACATTGGCGCGGAAATTTTATTGCCCATCAAAACATAGCCACTAACAGTTGAAAAAAGAAACGAGCGGAAGGAAACTAAAAAAAAAACTAACTTGTTTTTTCAAGAACCTTCAACTTTTGAATTTCGAAGAAAAAAATAGATTGAAGCCTTAAAGCTCTTTGAATTTTTAGAACAATTTATGATGGACACTTTTTTGTTAAAATTAACCCAATTTGAGAAAGCTGGATCAATACAACTTTTATTTCGCTGAGAAACCTGGTAATTAAGTTCCATTTTCAAAATCAGAAGCCGATCACGTTTTTTGACCTTTACACTTTAGCTGTTCGAGTGTGGAGTTTGGCTTTCTTTTAACAATGGAAATGCATTAAACTTAAAAAGGAATCAAAAGTCAAACCGCGAAAAATCAAAAGTGAGCGTGAACAAACTTTAGACTTTTTCCGATTAAAACAAAAAAAAATTGGAAAGACCCATATAAGAGTACTCACTACGTTCATTACTCTTAAAATGTCGAACAGTAGTTGACTTCATTTGCTAAGTCCTCGGTTCTGTGGTATATAGTAACAATTCTCCGCTTCTATATCAAAAATTAGGAAACACTTCAAAAATTCAGCATACACTAATAAAGAACCACGAGTTACGAAAGTGAATAAGCTTCTTGAACATTGAACATAAAAGGTAAATTTTGTTTCCATAACCTATCAGCTGCACAGTACATTTCCTGTAGCTGAGTCGCACCTTATTTTAGAAAGATAGCATTCAAATAAAGTCACTGTTTTATTTTGCGGTACGTTCCTGGCTTGAGTTAAACAAGCTAGCGCAGCAAAAAAAATCCAAATTACTTTAGTAAACATCAAGAACAAGTTTTCTGATGAGTATCTGGACCAGATTCCAATTACCAAAAACTGAAATAGTTGTTAAAAAAAATCACCACCAGGCAAAAAAAGTCAACTTGCTTCATGTACATCAACCGTTCTAAGCAACAATTAAATCCACATCTTATTAGAGAAAGATATAGATACCTTATCACATTCAAACAGTGTTATTATTTTATTTTGCTGTGCATAGCTGATTTGAGTTGAACAAGGTAGCTCAGCAGACAAAAAGCCATATTACAGGGAATATTAAGGAAAGAGCATAAGCGACATTTCTGATGAATATCGGGATCAGATTCCACTTATCAAATTCTAAAAGAAATATCAAAGAAATATAACCATGATTCACAAAAGCCAACTCGCTACTCGCACAACAATCGTTCTAAGGGCGATTCAAATCCACAACATATCAGGTGCGAAGCGCAATCCCCATTACTGAGTCGTACCTTACTAAAAAAGATATTAATTAAATATTTTGACGCTCTTTTACTTTGCTATACATAGCTGAATTGATGAAAACAAGTTTGATCATCACACAATTAGCCATAGTACTAAAGGAAACATCATAAGCAAGAATTCTGATGAATCTCGGGATCAAATTCCAGAAACCAAATTCTAAAAAAAGTATCAATGAAAAATCACAATGAGCGACAAAAGTGATCTCGCTTCTCGCCCATCAATCGTTTTAAGGACGTTTGGAATCGACAACGTATCATCTGCCAAGCGCACTCCGAATAAATGAGTCGTACCTTATTGAAAAGCTATTATTCAAATAAAGTTAAGGTGTTTTAATTTGCTGTAGATGGCTGATTTGAGTTGAACAAGTTAGCTCAGCAGACAATTAGCCATACTACTTCAGAAAACATCAGAAGCGAGAATTCTGATGAGTCTCTGGACCAGACTCCAATTTCCAAGAACTGAAATAGTTGTTAAGGAAAAATCACCACCAGGCAAAAAAAGTCAACTCGCTGCATGTACATCAACCGTTCTAAGCAACAATTAAATCCACATCTTATTAGCTGCAAAGCGCACTTCTTATTGCTGAGCCGTACCTTATCATAGAAAGATATCATTCAAACAGTGTTAATGTTGTATTTTGCTGTACATAGCTGATTTGAGTTGAACAAATTGGCTCAGCAGACAATTAGCCATATTACTTAAGGGAACATCATAAGCGAGATTTCTGAAGAATCTCGGGATCAGACTCCAGAAACCAAATTCTAAAATAGATATGAACGGAAAATCACAATGAGCCACAAAAGTAATCTCGCTTCTCGCACATCAATCGATTTACGGACGTTTGGAATCTACAACGTATCATCTGCCAAGCGCACTCCGAATAAATGAGTCGTACCTTATTGAAAAGCTATTATTCAAATAAGTTAAGGTGTTTTAATTTGCTGTAGATGGCTGATTTGAGTTGAACAAGTTAGCTCAGCAGACAATTAGCTATATTACTTTACGAAACAACACAAGCGAGAATTCTGCAGAATCTCGGGAACAAATTCCAGAAACCCAATTCTAAAATAAGTATCAATGAAAAATCTCAATGAGCCACAAAAGTAATCTCGCTTCTCGCACATCAATCGTTTTAAGGACGTTTGGAATAGACAACATATCATCTGCCAAGCGCACTCCTTTAAATGAGTCGTACCTTCTTGAAAGAGACATTATTCAAATAGTGTTATGCTGTTTTATTTTGCTGTACATGGCTGATTTGAGTTGAACAAGTTAGCTCAGCAGACAATTAGCCATACTACTTCAGAAAACATCAGAAGCGAGAATTCTGATGAGTCTCTGGACCAGACTCCAATTTCCAAGAACTGAAAAAGTTGTTAAGGAAAAATCACCACCAGGCAAAAAAAGTCAACTCGCTTCATGTACATCAACCGTTCTAAGCAAAAATTAAATTCACATCTTATTAGCTGCAAAGCGCACTTCCTATTGCTGAGCCGTACCTTATCATAGAAAGATATCATTCAAACAGTGTTATTGTTGTATTTTGCTGTACATAGCTGATTTGAGTTGAACAAATTGGCTCAGCAGACAATTAGCCATATTACTTACGGGAACATCATAAGCGAGATTTCTGAAGAATCTCGGGATCAGACTCCAGAAACCAAATTCTAAAATAGGTATCAACGGAAAATCACAATGAGCCACAAAAGTAATCTCGCTTCTCGCACATCAATCGATTTACGGACGTTTGGAATCTACAACGTATCATCTGCCAAGCGCACTCCGAATAAATGAGTCGTACCTTATTGAAAAGCTATTATTCAAATAAAGTTAAGGTGTTTTAATTTGCTGTAGATGGCTGATTTGAGTTGAACAAGTTAGCTCAGCAGACAATTAGCCATACTACTTCAGAAAACATCAGAAGAGAGAACTCTGATGAGTCTCTGGACCAGACTCCAATTTCCAAGAACTGAAATAGTTGTTAAGGAAAAATCACCACCAGGCAAAAAAAGTCAACTCGCTTCATGTACATCAACCGTTCTAAGCAACAATTAAATCCACATCTTATTAGCTGCAAAGCGCCTTTCCTATTGCTGAGCCGTACCTTATCATAGAAAGATATCATTCAAACAGTGTTATTGTTGTATTTTGCTGTACATAGCTGATTTGAGTTGAACAAATTGGCTCAGCAGACAATTAGCCATATTACTTACGGGAACATCAAAAGCGAGATTTCTGAAGAATCTCGGGATCAGACTCCAGAAACCAAATTCTAAAATAGGTATCAACGGAAAATCACAATGAGCCACAAAAGTAATCTCGCTTCTCGCACATCAATCGATTTACGGACGTTTGGAATCTACAACGTATCATCTGCCAAGCGCACTCCGAAAAAATGAGTCGTACCTTATTGAAAAGCTATTATTCAAATAAAGTTAAGGTGTTTTAATTTGCTGTAGATGGCTGATTTGAGTTGAACAAGTTAGCTCAGCAGACAATTAGCTATATTACTTTACGAAACAACACAAGCGAGAATTCTGCAGAATCTCGGGAACAAATTCCAGAAACCCAATTCTAAAATAATTATCAATGAAAAATCTCAATGAGCCACAAAAGTAATCTCGCTTCTCGCACATCAATCGTTTTAAGGACATTTGGAATAGACAACATATCATCTGCCAAGCGCACTCCTTATAAATGAGTCGTACCTGATTGAAAGTTACTATTCAAATAAAGTTAAGCTGTTTTATTTTTTGTACATGGCTAATTTGAGTTGAACAACTTAGCGCAGCAGACAATTAGCCTTATTACTTTAGGAAACATCATAAGCCAGAATTCCGAAGAATCTCGGGATCAAATTCCAGAAACCAAATTCTAAAAAAAAGTATCAATGAAAAATCACAATGAGCGACAAAAGTGATCTCGCTTCTCGCCCATCAATCGTTTTAAGGACGTTTGGAATCGACAACGTATCATCTGCCAAGCGCACTCCTTATAAATGAGTCGTACCTTATTGAAAAGTTATTATTCAAATTAAGTTGAGCTGTTTTATTTTTCTAAACTTGGCTAATTTGAGTTAAACAACTTAGCGCAGCAGACAATTAACCATATTACTTTAGGAAACATCATAAGCGAGAAATCTGAAGAATCTCGGGATCTGATTCCAGTAACCAAATTCTAAAAAACATTTCAATTAAAAATCACAATGAGTCACAAAAGTCATCCCGCTTCTCGCACATCAATCGTTTTAAGGACAATTAGAAAAGACAACGTATCATCTGAGAAGAGCACTCCTTATAAATGAGTCGTACCTTTTTGAAAAGATATTATTCAAATAAATTTGAGCTGTTTTTATTTGCTGTAGATGGCTGATTTGAGTTGAAAAAGTTAGCTCAACAGACAATTAGCCATATTACTTTAGGAAACATCATAAGCTAGAATTCTGCAGAATCTCGGGATAAAACTCCAGAAACCCAATTCTAAAATAAGTATCAATGAAAAATCACAATGAGCCACAAAAGTAATCTCGCTTCTCGCACATCAATCGTTTTAAGGACGTTTGGAATCGACAACGTATCATCTGCCAAGCGCACTCCTTATAAATGAGTCGTACCTTCCTGAAAAGTTATTATTCAAATTAAGTTGAGCTGTTTTA